CATCACACTCACACGTCATCAATCAGTGAAACTGCCGGAACAAGTGGATTATCAAAGCTCTCGAGAAGACACCGCTTTCACAAGTTCACGCGTGGGAGTTTTTCATCTAGCAAAGAGAGTTTTGTTTTGTGAGTGTCTGTTTGCACTTTGGTACCACCCCCTACCCAAAAGTAGAATATTTATTTTTGCCTGTGAATTAATATTCTATTTTCCTCACTAATAAGGCTTAATAGTGAGCTTATTGTTCAAACCTACAACTCGCTCCCCAGTTACATCAATTCGTCAGCCCTGGTCAGATTGTCTGCTTGTGAAAATGGGTCATCTCAAAAAAAGGGATTTTTGTACATGGGAACTCTTTGACTACATCAAAGTGTACGTCAGTTGGCAGACATCAGACGTCGCTCCCATTTTGTTGGCATGGCAAGTCACTAGAGAGGGGCTTTATTGTGAAACATGCAGTGGTGAGATGACTGTCATATCTGAAAATCAGGTTTGATAAGAATTTTGATGTAACATGCTACACTGGGAAGCTGGGAGGGAATGTTCTCCAATTATTAGAAAGGTCTATCTAGATTTTTAAAGCCTCAATCTGGGACTGAGGAAGGGGGGTCGCACAACTATCGCACCACTTCTCACCAAGAACGACAACAAAGCTCTGAAGTCCTGATTTTTCTGATGAGTCCTAAACAAGCTAGCAGAGGGGGGGAATTTGTGCCTTTAACCATGGTACGTACCATGGTGTGGTTTGATGGTTTTGGCGGATTATGGCTTTAAAAATCCAGCTCAGGTCCATTTGGAATACAAAATTATATTTTCATAGGTCATAATATATTATTTTCCACAATGCATCAGATTGAAACAAAAGACATCTGCATTTGTAATGGATATATTACAAATATATAATGGATGCTTTTTGCAACCTTGACATCAAATCCAAACTCTTTCTGTGATGATAGCATCTGATAAGATTCATTTAACATTTGAAACTCTAATGAAATCATATTTATTACATATAAATTCGAACAGTATACGGGATTAAGAAACTGCTTTTCTATACTAAAGTTCTAATTGTTTTTATGTGTTCATTTAGACATTGAAAGGTCAACACCGGTCTAAATGTCTTACCCCACCCGGGTTAATGGTTTAATAGGAGTGGTTTTCACGAGAGCAGTGCACCACCACAGACCTGCATGTGGCTCACAGTATTTTTCCATACAACGATACAACAAACAGCTGCAGAGTGGTTAGCTTAGTGATTTGAATTACACAGTGATGGTGATTTTGGAGAGATTCTGCCTGCTACCTGGATATATGTCAACAGTATTACCTTGTTTATTTTATTTAACCCTCCGGGAAGTGTACTCTAACCATGACCATGTGAGCTCATTTACATTGCTTCCTGCTTTGAATGTGATCTCATTGGAAAAAAACTAAAACAAACATACTGCTCGCAGATTTTAATTCCCCCTGAAAATGAGCCTCCACTGCGTTATATTATGTAAAATATCATTCATGCAGTGATTACAAAAACAATATATTTGACATTATTTTAAGTATCCAATACTGATTTGCTCATGCTCATTTGCTGTCAGTATTTCAAGATGTTACAATCTTGTTCTTTTCATACTGTAACTTTTTGAATGACAATCTTTTGAGTCCATCATATTTTTCAAGAGATGCCGCTCTGTGTTCGTTTAGTGAAAGAAATCCCTGCCATTTGTGCAACTGCTAATCGGCTTTATAGACTGCACTCAACCTCAAACAGTCATATTATAGATTATATATTGAATATAAAGGTAAGCTAACATATTTACTGGCTCACGTTGCAATGTTGTATCGGGCATTCTTTGAGGATAATGTTGATTGCAGCACTGTCATACCGGTCAGAAGACGGTGTGGAGTGTACTGGTGAAGCTGGATTAGCAGTTAAACAACATCCAGGAAGAATACACACTAAACATACATACATCTCTGTCCCTATCTGTCTTTTGTTAATGACAATCAGAGACAACTTTTAACTGTACAGACACTGCTTGTGCCAGAGTCTGAATTTAAATCTAACAATCTACCTTTTGAATCTGCTCGTGTTACAGAGTTGTTCCCGTATAGCTCAGCAGGAAAAATCTCAGTATTTCCTGAAATCCTCACTGTGGAACTTGTGCTACACTTTATAAAAAAGCAGCCCTTCACGCTCAGTGCGACAGTCTGGGCTCGGCCACCCCAGCTGTACACATTCCGGTTAGCTACGTCATAGTCCCTTTTCAAGACTGGTGCTGTTCATAGCGGACGACGACACTCAACTGTCAGAACTACATGTGCGTCAACATGTACGTTCAGTGCCCTTTTACACTTTCCTATGTGCAATGTCAATTTGAAAAAGAAGAATGTTAATTTATACTGTTTTAAGTGTTTCACAGCAGATGTACGGTGTATATATAGAGAGGTGTATAATAAGCCATTGTACCATGTAAATTATATGGAAGTATTTTTTTAATGAAATTGTCCTAACATTCCTTCAGCAGTTGATATCAGCAGTATCTTTTTTTTTTTTAAAAAGGTACAAGGTGTGTCCAGTGAAGAGTATGATTACAGTGATTATACAGGACTTTGTCTGGTGACGCTGAGTGTTTGTTTTTTTCTTTTCCCCCAAACGTGATATAAAAACAGAGAAACTCTGGAGTAAAGGGTCATATGTTCACCATGATTGTGAAAAAATATTAAATGAAGAATCTTAATCCTTATGTCCTTGTCAAGCAGAATTTCAGACACTTTGAAGGTTCACATCAGGGTGCGGGAACAACTATCCAGCTGTATGGTCACTGCTAGTGATAACAGCTGAGTGTTTAAAAAGGTAACTCAGCCAAAACGAACTTAAGTTACCTGCAAAAAGTCTTTTCTTTTTTCAGTTTTAAATGTTTCCAGGTTTTTTTTTTGTTTTTTTTTAGCTTTTAAAAAAAAGTGCAATTGTACATCATCAAAATATTTATTTTTAGACGGCGGAGGGAAGTCTCAGTCTCCCTGTATGTATTTCTATACATCCGTCAGTTAAATGAAAGCCCATATAAGTTCAGCTCAGCCAGCAACTCAGAGGTGCCATAGATGATTATATTTTTACTTCCCTTCACCACTCGATGTTACTTTTCCCGTCTAAAACACATCATTTAGAGAGGAGATTGTTATTTGCCTTGCAAGGTGGTTGAGGGAAATTCTGCTCATTAAACTCAACTGTGAGTGAATCAAGTTGAGATAGTTCACACGTTGTGCTCCGGATGTGGGTTAGGATCTAAATTATTTTACATTGGACAATTTTTATTTTATTTTTTTTGGGTGTGTATTGCTTCACAGGAGTTATTGTAAATAATCCATCTGCTTAGTCGATGCTGTTTTTCTTTATAGTTGCTCTGTCCGACAGTAGTTGCACCTGTTTTCTTTCTTTCTTCATCGTTTCAGAATGCTTCTCTGCTTCATGGGGTTTTTCACTGAGTGTCATTGTTTTTTGAAGGCATGTGATTTGAATCACATTTAACTTGTACTTTTCTGATTTGTAAAATAATGACTGACACCTTCAATGTGTGAGTGGGCAGTCAGATCAATGCTTTCTGTGTAAGATTTACCAGGACATGAACAAAACAAACCTGGTTCACAGCCATTTCTGCCGTTTCAGTGCAGAAACAAACATTGAATATATTGTATAATAGAATGTAAAAAAAAGTTATACTATATAGTTGTTTATTTTATATGTCTAATAGATTACATATGTATGTTACATGATTTTAAAATTAAAGTAATTTTGTAACAGATAATGAAGTGTCTTATTAGAGGAGGTGAGGCTTTGCGTTCAAGTTGTTGTTGCACAGTCACTTGTATGGCTTGTTTTCTCTCTGTATTTACCATCAAAATAAGCTTTAAAAATATCGTTAATATTGTTTTAAAAGAAATTAACAAATTAAGTTTACATTCTAAAATATCTTGATATTAATTATGTTATTGAATTATTTATAAATCAACCTGGATATTGTGAAATATATGAAAATAAATATTTTTAAACATATGTATTGTTATTCTGAGCAAACTGTTTACGTAGAAAATGTGTACAAGACTGTTCCTCAGCTGTGTGTTGTTCATGCAAAAAGCTGTAGTTTCATATCAGAAAGCCAGGCTAGTATTAATTTATGAAGAAGACTTGGCTGGACATAAAGTAAAAAAAGGTTTGACTTTAAAGTACCAGTGTGGAGGATTTATTGGCATCTAGCGGTGAAATTGCAGACTGAAAACTACTCGCATCCATATTTCACGACGTAGGAATGAGGCTGGGAAGTGTGTAGAAGAAACTACGGTGGCCACTATCTACAGCCAGTGTTTGGTTTGTCCATTGTGGGCTACTGTAGAAACATAGCGGCCTCCATGGAAGGCATCCAACAGTGTCTGTATATTGTGCAACAAGGTTTTAACACTTCTCTAACAAGTAATCTCTCACATGAAGCTTAACACTTTACGTTTGTTGATCGTGTGTTAATGAGCAGATTTAGGATGTAACATTACTTGGGGTGTGGGGGAGCCCATAAGCCACTGTCACACCTCCCTATGATCTGTTTTTCATACTGATTCGTTTGATTGCAGCATCCAAAATACCAGTCCTTTCTCTCTGTCTTCAGGCTGGAGACACTATTTCCTGTTTAGAGGAGCAGGGACTTGTAGTGTGTGGTAAACCTTATTTGTAGCCTAAGCAGCATCCGTCAGCCACAGTGAAATAAAATATACAATTTTATGTATTTCAGTCTTTTAATTAGCCATTAAACATTTTACTCTTTGAAAGATTTACGCATTATTTAAACTATTATGTGACATTTACTGTACATGAGAAACTGATAAGAGAATTTACAGGTATCAAATTATAGTCTTAAAAAAGTGGACTAAGTTTCTTCTCTTTCTATCCAAAATAACTGTCTAATTACATGATTAATGTACACTGATAATAATTACAAAGTCACACAACTGAACATGTGCTCTTCTGCATGTTCTAGTTGAGACAAATCTCTGTCACTCTGTACAACCTGCTGATCAGTACCTCCACCTTATCTCCACCCAGATGACAGAGGTCCAAGATGCACATGACATGCATGTCCTCCAGTTCACTGGCAGTCCTTAAGATCTCCTCTGCAAGACAAACATTTCACATTGTAGCATCACCGGTCACACTGATCCTAAATATAAATATAATAATAAATAAATATAACCATGCACTGTTGTAGTGATAAGACTTCCCAGGTCTGCTGAGAAAGCATGTGTCAAAGCAAAACTGCGTGGTGACTGTTGACTGACTGTGTGCTGTGGTGTCTACCTGGCTCAGGAAGTGTTGCTTCACTGTGGCTGGCAGAGTCGGTAAGAGGGCAGAGGAAGCCTGATGAAAGGCAGGACAGCATTGTGTTGCCATGGGGATTCCGAGGAAGCCCTACAGCTCTGGGCATATCTGAGCTCACAACAGGAAGATATGCGGCATCAACGGCTATTTGCTTGTTTATACCTGTCAAAAAGATTAAAAAAGAGGATTGTAAACTGTTCGTCATCACCTTCTAAAACATAAAAAAAATAGCAATTTTCTATAATAATAATAATAATAATAATAATAAAGACGGGCTCTAAAAGTGGACATACCTGACAATATGTGCCGGCTGTGTGCTATGATTCTAAAAACTGCTGTTCGAAGACAATGCCATGTTCAACTAACCCAACCTAACTAAAGCTACAGGGGTGGGCGCTGGTTGTGACGCAGGGAGAAGCTATAGAGGTTAGCAAGTATTTCTTCATTGAAAGAAGAAAACGGCACTGAAGGCTCTCGCTCTTCTCCAGTTCCTCCTAAGTAATATAATAAAAACATAAAAGCTAGGTCTACACTTGTAAAGGATTAAACGAATCGGACAGCAATTTTTTGTCTACTTGAGAGAGTCGTCCATAAGACAGAGGCACACAGAACATTATGTAGGAAACAAGAGGGTCTTCTGACAAACAGAATGGATAACAGAGGCTGAAACGCTGGAACAGATGAGAGTAATTCTTGCTATAAAACCGTACCTAATATTGTTACTTGGTAGTATCCTGGACAAACCACAGGTGAGATGCTGTCAGCGGTTTGCTCCGGTGCCCAGTGCGTTGGCTGAAGGTTACTCCACTGCAGAAGGACATCCTTTTCGTTAAACGTGAACCTCCGAGAGAAGCTGCCCTGGTACAGACCACCCTGACACAAATGTTCAGACGCTTCTTGTCGTTGCTTCAGCCAACTGCTGCTTTCCCAGGATAACACATCAGAGTCTGGTAGGAACAAACACAACCAGTGACAGTTTATCAGAACACATAAGGTACACCACAATAAAGCTGCAGCTCCAGTAATGCACCTTGATGCAGCTGTAAGTGAGACTCCACATCCTGAGCCTCTTCAGATTCAGAGTCACTCTCTTCTTCTGCCTGCTCTTGTGCTTCCTCTGTATTTTTATGTCCAGCCCTCCTGTAAGAGCAGAGACAAATGAGGTCAGACTGGTTGAAATGGTTACTGATGAACACTACCTGCTGAATCTTCAATACCTTTTTGCTGGAACGCTACCGCGATTCAAGGAGGACTGTGTGGTGTCCCTGGAAAAACGTGTTGATGTTAAATTTCATTAATTGAATTAAAAGTAAAACTCAATTTATGATTTAATATTAAGCGTACAAATCTGATAGTCAGGAGTCAAATCATACATCTGAATTCTTCTCTTCCCTCTACTTGCTAAGGTTTTCTTTACAGATGGAGTTAAACTGGCCTCCAAAGTCCGCTTAGCTGTTGAGGGATCTTTGTGTGTGTCAGGTACAGCTTGTTCGCAGGCATCAGCAGAAACACCGGGCACCTGCAAGAAACCAGTTGACTCATTTTACACTGTTAATGCTCACTGTTCTGGAAAATATGCTTTGAAATAATGTCTACTACCTCTTTCTCTTCTGTTGTTTCAGACTCTGTGGACTTCGGGTTTTTCATGTAGCGTACTGCTGTGATCTGTCCTTGAATTGCAAGTCTTTTATGTTCCCTGTATTGCAGGGTCTCTAACTCCCTTTTCAAGTCAGCCGCAGAAACCAGGGGAGCTTGAGCGGAAGACGGAGCATAAAGGTTTCAATATAAGAAACATCTACAGACAATAAAACCAAGTCACTTTTACTGTGGGATGCTACATTTTAGATGAGTATACTGTACTCTAAAGGACAAACTGTTCTCTGTAAATGCTCTTCTTACGGGAGGCTTGAAGAATAGCTTTTGAAAATTCAAATGGAGGGTATAAAGATGAACTCCCTGCAACTATGCATCAAGATACAGGCAGAGCAGGGGTGCAGTACAAATGATTTATGTGGGCCGTACACCACGCTGCACCTTGTGGCAGAACTGTGGGAGAATGCTGACCCTGATTTTATTGGATTCCTGCCACCCACAAGAGAACTGAGTGAATCTCATTTATGGTTCAGTACTGAAGTACTGAATGCTCTGAAATTATAGAAGATGCGCATTCTGCAATGAAGCTGTAATACAATGAGAGGCCAGAAAAGCTAAAGCATGCAAATATGCTCTGAAAATTAAGGGAAAAAAGTTTAACTTGTGAAACAGTCTGTGTTATTCCCTCACCTGAGGCATCTGCCATCGACTGGGTACATTTTTGCGGGGGGCTAGGGTAACAGTAGTGACCACCAACCGCAGTCTTCTGGAGGACTATGTTGTCCTTCAGAGTTTTGGTCCACTGGATGAAGCTTTTCACTTTGGGGTCACTCACATATGGCTGACCTTTGTGGTAGCCTGTTGTGGAGACAGATAATTATAAACAGTTCAGTTCCAGCTCACCGATACCGTCACCACGTATAAGTAGATTATCAGGTACTTGTTACAGTTGCGCAAACCTGTGATGAACGTCTCTGTCTCGCAGCTGCTTGTGAGGTAGGGCAATGAGCCTTCCACTCGACAAACTCTCATCTGAGTGCATACCAGGTAGGTCACTGTGGAAGAGATGATGATATATTAATATATAATTAATTCTTCATTATTTATTTGGGGGTGGCTGTAGCTCAGCCTGTAGGAACTTGGCTTGTCCAGCACAGATCACAGTATGGAGGGTGGACTGGTAGCTGGAGAGGTGCCAGTTCCACCTCCTGTGGACTGCCGAGGTGCCCTGGAGCAAGGCACATAACCCCTAACTGCTACCGGAGTGCTGCTATGTGGCGACCCGTCACCCCACCATCTCCCCACATTTGCATGTCTATAAGTTTGTGTGCATGATTGTATTTTGGGCCTATGTGTGTGTAAATATTGAATGAAAAAAATAATTTCCTCATTGGGAGTAATCAAGGATTTCTTCTTCTTCTTCTTCTTCTTCTTGGGTCTTTCACATCAAAACAACAACAAAACACGTAGTTTGATGATGTTGTGTTGTGTTCATTGTTAAACAACCAGCATTATTGATGAAAATCTGACGACTCAGGCAGAAATCATCTTCACAGATGAGGTAATGTATTCAAGTCTTAGTCACATTACGTTTAGTCATGTTCGCCAACTTCCTTGATGTATCCCGTGTTCCCTAGAAAGTTCTAGCAACTAGAGGCAAGTATATCTGCAGGACAAACGTAAAGGATGAACAAGAAGGACGTTTATGGATGTTCATCTTCCAAATATCAACATTTATATTTTTTTAGCAGATAGGATAACACAATGTAATTTGTTTGTCATCATTAATTCTGCCTGATATTTGCTAAAATAACTATATTTATTTGTTTTTTTTAGTTTTCCTAAATCACCTTTTGTTTACATTCATTCATTCATTGATTAGACCGCATAACTGAGCTGAAAGTCTCAACAACATGAGTCTTGTCATTTTAAGACATTTCAGTGCGGTTGCATATTATATCTTTTATAATGATATGTATATGCGTCAGAGCTATCAGACAAAAGCTGATACAGTTGACTTACTCGGGCAGATACGACTGAAGATTTCTGGTTGAGAAGAGGAAAAAACCTCCAGGATAAATGGTTGGTCAGATGTTCCATCCACTGCATGGATCCAGCGATACGTCCAGTATTTTTCTGGACCTAAAACATGAAAATGGTCGATCACCAATAACTGTATTCAAATTCAAAAGAAAATTCAGCCGCTTTACTTCGGTTTTAAAAAGCAATTTCAATTTCTTACCCTTGTTCCCTTTACTCTTCACTCTTTCAACGCGGCCAACAAACGTTACCAGACCTATGATATCACATGCAAAACTGTTGGATTGTTTTTCCAACTCTGACCTGTAAGATACAAACATAAGATGAAGCACTTTTTGAAATAATTAGAAAACACCTCAAGTACTAGATAAAGACAAACGTTGAACTGCTATATCGATAAATGCCAGTTCATTACCTGGTGGTGAACTGGTAGGAAACCTCAGGCAATCCCCACTGAGGCAGTACACTCTTCGGCGAGACCACAGTGATGACTGAAGCTGGGTTGCGAGGGTTCAGGCAGATTTCTTACAAAAACACATAAGAAGATATTACATTACAGAGAGTTTGGGCTAAGGATATACTGTGGTTCACAAGCCCTTTCACACACACCACAAATAACCAAGACAAGACTTCTTCAAAACATGAAAGATTTCTTTCTAGCCTTTATAGAAACCCTGTTAATGTTAAATCTGGAAGATTGACCTGAAGTAAAAGCAGATTTTAACTGTATGTATAAACTACAGAACCCTAGCTGTTAGATTTATTTATTTAGAAATGTGAGCGTTGGATAGACACGTTTCTACTATAAGACATTGATAGCGTTATGCAACATGAAAACAAAAGAAAAAAAAAAAAACTGTGGTCAGTAGTTCTGTACATACCTACAGAGTTGAAGGTCTTCATTCTGTGATGGTCCATTTGTGGGTGTGAGCGGTTTGAGTAACTCTGCTTCAGGGTGTAATTCTGGAGGTACAACACTGTTCCCACATTCAGTCTCTGGTAAAACTCTGGACAAAGTTCGTTCCACAGCACAAGGGACATTGTCCCGCTCTGGTCAGCAACTTCAAAGTATGCCTGAAAATATGACAAAGCATGAGGTGAAAAAAGTAGACCACACTTTGAATTAGTATGAAATATGAAACTGAGATCCTGTTCACATTGTGTTACTGAATCTCCAAACTCTTTCAAACTCACCTGATAAGGGTAATCAATCTTGAGGCCAAACTTCCCATAATAGCGTAATCTGGATTTGTGTATTATCTTCACGAGGAGAGGGAGAGATTTCCATGTGTTTCTAAAGGATGACTCCAGACTAGAAAGAAGAGTAATCTTGGACACTGTTGAAAAGAAGACCATGTAGACAACACATCTGAGAGAGTTCATGAAAAGATATCATTATAAACCAGTTTTTGACTGTTGTTCAGACAAAACAAGCAGTCTGATACACCACTGTGGTTCCTGATTAACTGATGATTGGCATTTTTCTATATGCAGTTTGTTGCCCATGACATAATAATAAAAAAACAACTAATAATGACAATAACATAATATTTGTTGCAGCCAACTTATTAAACTCACTACATTATCTCGCATGTAAACACACTCTGACTGCACCAATATCCTCAAATGACTGCAGGCAGGGTCAAACTAAAATATTAAACCAAGTACGGAAGCCCACCCCAGTGGTATAAACGAGTGCGACAAAGGGGGTCATAGTAGTATCTCACCGTCCAGCACTGTGTCAGATGAAGGAGACCCTGAGGTCCAGATGTCTCCCTCAGGGTCGTCGTTGTTCCACAGAGACAGGTAGTGTTTGCGGCTCACCTGAAGGGGAACATCACTCTGCAGCACCACACTCCTCTCCATGCCATGTTTGACCAGTATGGGCAGTGAGCTGACATCCTTTATGCGGGCCAGGACAGCGGACCTCCCAACACCACAGCCAAGCTTTTCAACGCAAATGTAACCATGCCCCAGTCTTTTCTCATTATAAACATACGTGCACTGCGTGATGCTGATGTCCGCCCCGGTCCTCAGGGTGTTTGTGTGCACCAGGTGGTTCAAACTAGGGTGGACAAAGCACTTGGCTCTCCACACTCCGTCAGTGACCGTCACATCGTAGCTGTAGCTGTCGGACTGCCCCTGCTGCCCCCCCTGCTGCTGCCCCTCCGTTAGCTCAGATAAATACCTCTGGAGAGCAATGACAGCCACAGGAGCCGCCTCCTCTGGCTGTAGTTTCAGGCACTGTGTGGAGGATAGCCGCTCCAGCGTCCTCTGGAGGAAGGACACCTGAGAGAGGCCGCTCACCATCGACGAACAGGACGAGCTGTCCTCCATTGTGGACAGTTTATCGGAGTTAACGCGACTGGCGACGTTGTTGAGCTGCTGTCACTATTAGCAACAGAGGAAGTAACGTTAGTGGCATTTAAAGAAATGAGTTGTTGTTCTTTGTTTAATCACGCAGGACGTAATGTTTCACGGTGTTTCGAGAGAGGAGGGTAACGTTACTTCGGTAACGAAGGTAACGTTACAGCTCGGCTGGTAAACGTTACAAATAACGCGCCTGTGGTTTGATTCTTCTTCTTCTTCTTCTTCTTTGGGTTTTATGGCGGGTTCAACCATGACTTCATAAGGTGCATACCGCCACCTACTGCACCGGAGTATAAAGCATGAGTTATAGTTATATCAGACTACTTTACATCATAATAAATAAATAAATAACCTATAATATAACCCCCTCTCCTGTTGTTCCCAATATACCCTCAAGGTTCAATCTTCTGACTTATCTTTTGTTTTAGCATTATCCTCTCTTCTCTATATTTTCTACAATGTAAGTGTATATGTTTTACACTTTATGGGATTTTACGTTCCAAACATTCATCTGATCGACTTTTACCTCACAAAAACAGTGTTGAGACCTCAGTGTGGTTAAAACTGTCTCCTCCCTTCTGCTCTTTCTAATCACACCCTGCACACTGTAATATTTCCTTCCACTACTATCCCTGTCCCACCTGTCCTGCCATTTCTTCATCATTTCTTTTTTGGTCATCCCTCAGCTTCTCCTTTACCAGAGGTTATATTTATAACATCGCTCGTCGTGGTTGATTTTTTTTTAGCTATTTTGTCTGCTCTCTCATTCCCTTTTATACCTACATGATCAGATACCCAGCAGAATCTCACATCTATCTGAAGCCTCCGCAATCTAAATAAATGTTGATGGATTTCTAGCATTAAATCTTATCTATTAGATGTCATATTTTGAATACAGTAAAGGTCTGCTACAGAATCAACACAACACAACCAGTCCGTCTGGTTTTACTTCCTCCACCCACTGCAACACTACAATAATCGCCATCATTGTTTTTTCTCTTGTACATAGTGTTTTTATTATTTCCCTATTCTTACTGTTTATTCACACTGTTATTTTCTCTATCCGACTATTGGACTGTTACATTGGAACATTGCCCCATTGTAGGAACAAATAAAGGAATATTCTCCTATCTATCTATTATCTACTATCTATCTAATCTATGCTACTACACTATCTTATCTTCTATCTATCTATCTATCTATCTATCTATCTATCTATCGTATCTATCATTTCTGTCTGTGTAAACTGACAGACTGAATCACGGAATCCTTTCCCATACTACTTATTTTGCTATTGATTATATTCCTATGCCTACCCTATCTTCTTTATCTTTGGACCTGTCCTTTTATGTGACTTTCCAGGTGTCCTTTCCCACTCCCTTCCCATCCTTTATTTAATTCCATAAATTATTCATTCATCATTATATTTAAATCTACCTCCATTTTTGGAAACAGCCAAATAGGGATATTATTTAATGTAATATTTGATTATATAATGTTTCCACCATTTCGTACTGATATTAACTCCTTCTTTCTTCATTATATCTGCTGCGATCTATTAGTACATGTTTGACAGTTTTTGGTTTATTACAGTGTGTGCATTGTCCAGCAGGGTGCTTTGATCATCCTGTACTCTCAGATGGGTAATGATCTCCTCCCTCTGGCTCCCACCAAAACCTCTGCTTTACCTAATGCTACTTGTATGTCAATTAGCGGTCGCTTTATTGATTGTTTTCCCAAATGTATACCATCTCAATTTCCCATGAGCAGGAACCTAAAGAAAGGAGATATCCAATCCCCTGTAATGTAGCCTGAGTAGCAACTGAAACATTTCATATATACATATATATCCTTGCCTGCATGACAACTTTCCAGACATGATACTTGAAAGTGCTGACAAGCTATATATCTGAAGACACTCATTGTAATGCTAACAATATTAAGATAAGATAATATAAGATGTTCCTTTATGGATCCCTGAGAGTCTCTGGATCTTTTGAACCATCTGTAAATATGAATATCTTTTGTTGTTTGTACTATTTTAATTTAGGTTTCTCTTTTGCTTTCTGCTGCAGACGTGTCTGAGTGGGATAATGAATCTCTCAGGAGGTGTAGCTGATGATGGAACAGTGGGGCTTCGTTTTACAGGTCAAGCATTGCGCCTAGCATTCCCTATCCACCCAGAACTGAAACCACATCTGGATCGTCATTATGCTCCCACAGCAGTTCTGGAAACCCAACCTTTGTTTAGGAGGTGATGCTACTATTGACCTTGAAGATTACACCCAATACACTAACATAAGGCGTAACCCTCCTGATTTGTAGAGCCATTTCACCCCATTTCGACCTGCATTGCAGATGATGTTTTAAATGTTCCACTAAAACTAAAACTGTTCAAGGTTCATCAGGTTTTTTAAGGTTGGTTTCGGCCGCAACCCTGCATCCATAATATAGGACTGCTCTAATAGGAGCTTAATAAATATTTAATAAAGATGTCTTGCTTGTGCCCCAACCTCGCTCTGACAGGCAATATATTATTGATCTTTTAGCACTTGTTTTTTTACTTTGTCAGTATGTTGACACCAGATAAGCTCTCAATAAAACCACCTTAACCCGTCTGAGTGCTTGTCCATACAATTTCTTGGGTACTTGTTGTTTGGCTGTGTCACTATTTGCATTAAATGGGTGGGTAATGCTTTCACCATCCTGGTACACCATCAGTATTAGTTGGTAAAAGAGATTTACAGTTATTCATACTGCTGACCTCTTCAGAAATCATCATTTCATCATCACTTCCTCTCATTTTCTTCAGGGAAGCAACCATAATTTAACTCTGGCAGTTTGGTGCTGCAAGGGCATTTGAGTTCCCTGCATTACTGGTAGGAATGAAGTAGACAAAAAAAATTTAAACATGTTTAACTTCCTCTTAGAGATGGTGGCAGATTCTTATTTTCCTCTTCCTGTTACTCAAATCATTGTGTCAGTTAGTCCAGACCTGATGATGTGCATGAGGTATAGTGTTTACGTTGCATTTAACCACTTATCAGATTCCAGAATGAGGTTTATTGGGTCCTTAAGAAGCCTTTAGACGCTGTGCCAAGTAAACTGATAAACAGTCATTTAGATATTGGTTCATTGGGCAGAGGTGCCTATAAAGACAAAGAAGATAAGGGAATGCTCTGCTCTGTCATTACCTCCCCTAACAGTGTAAATACTGTATGCCTTGTTAGCTCTTTGTGTCTTTGATAATAAAAATGTTTGGTCTGTGAGATACCAAATGTGTATCTTTTGGTTCATTTATCTCAACAACAGTATAAATACTACACCATTGAGACAATGTGTGGAAGTTTAGAAATTAAAAAAAAATCTTTTAACATACATGTAACTAACATTACAGCTAAAATAAAGATAAAGAAGACAATTATTAAACCAAGAACACATAAAACACAAATGTAAATATAAACGAAATCATACTACTAGTGTACACAACAAAATACTGTCATAAGTTCAGTGAAATATTACTTAAAATGTTCCTTAGCTCAAATAAAAAACATCAATTGAAAAAAATGTAATAATATGGTAAAACTAAAAATTAGTTTTATTTTTTTTAAAACAGGATTGCATTGGATTTTCCTTCAATTTTTCCACTGTTCTGTATTGCTTTTCACATAGGAGGAATTTGCCTTGGTACATTTGTGCATAAGAATCACAACGAAGTGTAGAAAAATATAAATAAAGATA